CGTGCGGGGACGACAAGGGGAGAGCTCACGGGGAAGGCATCTCACAGAGAACCCCAATAGTTAGAACTGCGACAACGCCTCCCTAATCCCACGCCCGGTGCTTCCCCCAGACCCTTCCCCTAACTCAACACTTCCCCAGGTTTCTATTGAAAAGCAAAATCTAACTAGCCACGTTTTGCTGATGCAGAATCTTCAGAATACATTCACCTAATATTTAGCCAAATAAAGTAGTCTATGTATCAGTTCTGTTTATTGGCAGTTTTATTTTCTGGATAAATCATGCAAATAATAGCTCCCCCAAACACACATGATACACCCCCCCCCACTTAACTTTGGGAAATATAATTTACATTCGATTTGTTAATAAAGCTGAAAAATTAACCTGAAAAAAATGCAAAAAAAAAAATCCCTACTTTCAAATGCATTTTTAAATCAAATTCCAAATGATACCCTCAGTTACATTTAATTTAGAGAAAAAAAGTCTCCAGAGGCAAGAAATGTTTGGGTTATACTGTGCCCTTCAGATATTAAAAAAATCAAAATCAACTTGGTTTTGAAGGGGAGCAGAATTTGTCACCCAAAATATGCCACTTTGGCATGAGGAGTATTTTGAGCTAAAGGCAATCAAAACCCGGCAGATTCAGGAAAAGCTCTTTACCTCCCCCTCAACTACCTAAATTTACATTGGAAAGGGGGCCTGTACCAGGAGGAGAGCTATTATCAGAGATACCCAAGAAACTTATCTGCATAATAGGGCAACCTTTGTTTTCCAAACATCTCCTCTGCCTTCCTGTGAATGGCCTTCCTCCCCATTGTATCCCCAAATCCCTACTCCTTTCCTTAGCTCAGGACATTATATAAGCTTCAATTACCTGGCTGTCTTTTGAGTCTCATATCTTTGGGGCTCCTGTATGTACAAAATTAAATTCATTTTTCTCCTGTTAATCTGTCTTATATCAATTTAATTATTAGACCAGCCAAAGAACCTAGAAGGGAAGAACAGAAAATCTACCCGCCCCTACAGTTTGAACATCTATTCTAGCAACTTGACTTAAAAAAAAAAAAACCTGCATAGATTTATGGATTAATTTATCAAGCAATCTATGTGGAAAAGAGCAAGAATGTTTTAGCTTGATATATTTTCTGATGCATCTAAGAGAAAAAAATAAATCATTATGGATTTTGCAAAGTGCATTGTTATCCTTCTCTCTAATGAGAAAATGAAACAAGAGACATTCACTGCCCCTCTAGAGAGTCTCATAATTTCCAAAGAATATCCTTCTCTAAAGTATTTACCCATAAATGGCCGGCCTGTGCAGTTAATCAGTACAGGGAAAATGTCTGGGCCCCTTATGACTGCTCATCATTTTTCTAGTTAATGCATTAAAAGAGAAAGGAAGAAGTTACCAAAAAAAGCTGTTACATTCCCACATTCCCTATTGTTGCCAAGTCACATCACAGAGGTTAAAGGGCACTGCTATATACGGGCAAAAAGAAGTAAATTTAACATGAAGCCCACAACTGTCATTACTGTCTAGTGTCATCAATATATGGTTAGTTTTGGGAGGGAAGAAGAAAAAGAGGAACGATGAAACTGCTCCCTAGACTTTCATGGGATGAGGAACAAGGCTCCTGGAAATCCAGAAAGAGAAAGAATATGGCTATTCTCACAGTGTCCAGGTCAGAGCAAGCAGAGCTGTGGCTTAAACGCCCTGCACCAACAATAACTGCCGTCAAGAAAACTACTATGAAATAAGCATAATTAAAACAAATCAATGAATGTTAACACTAATGTAATTATTGTAAGTTATATTTTTATTAGTCAGGTACCACGTTTAACAAGAAGCCACAGTGCCATCTCCAACGACTCAAGCTGCATCCCGACCAGTAGAAGAGCAAACCACTCTATTAAAAAGTCTTTTCAAGAGAAAAAAAAGTATTTAATTATGGACTTGGGATACTTGGGTTCTAGTCTCAAATGCTGAAGTAAAGAATTAATTAAATTTTGTTATTAACTCAATTTGTGCTCTTCTCATTTTAGTTTATTTCTTCCTCCTGGTCTTGGTCTCCATGTGCTGCCAAAATGATGCATAATCCCTGGTTTACAGTTCTTCATTCTCTGTAAAGTAAGGGGATTTTTTTTTTCCTCAGAGATAGGTAAAGTATCAAGAAAGAAGGACCAGTTAATCAGGAGGTTATCAGTTATTTTACCTTGCCTATCACTGAGAAAAATCATCTCAGTTTGTTATGGTCTTGGTTCCTTTATTTGTAAAAGATCTACTTTATTGTCTTTGTCTCTAAAATACTTTAAGTGAATTACTTAAGAATTTCAAAACTGGGAGATATATATCCTCACACACACACACACACACACACACATATATGTACTTTGAGATATAATTCACCCATTAAAGTGTGCAAGTCAATGGTTTTTAGTGTATTCACAGAGTTGTGCAACCATCACCGCAATCAATTTTAGAACAGAGACACAGCTTCTAAATCCTCTAATCTATCATACAGGAGAAAGTTAAGGTCTAGATGGGTTAAGTCACGTTCCCCAGGTCACAGAGCTGGTCAGCGGCAGAGCCAGGCCTGGATCCCGGGGAATTATTAAGACTGACATCATCTAGGACTCTCTTTCCCCTGCCCTGGGAAAGTTCTACATGAATTAAAACCTGCTGTTAAAACGTTGTCTGAGAAGAACAGCTGGCATTTTTTATTATCCTGCTCCCTCTTATATTAAACCCGGGCTACTTTCTCCACCAAATCTATCGCATTGCAAGACTTCTAAAACAGATAAAAATGTTTCTATTTGACCACAAAATGTGGTTTGTAAGCTGAGAGAGAATCTGTGGCGTCTTTCTTTTCAGATAAATGCACAAAAGATTTCAGCTCATGCAAAAAAGGCTAAATTAGACCCTCTGCTCATTTCATTTTTAATGAACTGATTATGGATGGTTAAACTAAATGACCTCATCACTAGCATAATATTTGATTTCAACCGTTCACTCCGGTTAGTGGTCAGAATCAGCTTGAATCATCCAAGGGCTTATGTCTCGGTCATCTCTGAGATTCACTCCTATGAAGTCCATATCCATAGAAGTTAGTTCCCTGCCAGTGCTTAAGGAAGCCAGTGTAACATGCCTAGCCAGCGATTACTCTGGCACTGCCCAGACCACAGTGGACCCAGCCTCCTGGCCGCCCAAGCTGAGGGCAACCTCAGTTCTCAGCTCCCAGCAGCACCTGTCCATTGTTCCCGCCTTTACACGCTCTCCCTCTGGGCTTCCAAGACACTCTGCCCTCTCTTGCACTAGTTCTTTCCCTCCTGTGCTCTTCGACTAGAAAAGTTTCATTTATTCAACAAATATTTATAGAGTGGCCACCGCGTATCAAGTACTGGGCTAGACATTGTCCCTAAATGTGGGTGCTCCCCAGGGTCTGTATTTAGCTCACTGTGCATTTTCTCACTTTCACTTGCACTTATATTTTTAAATTTCCATTTAGGCTGGAAATCCCAAAAAGTCTGTAGCTCCAGTCTTGGCCTCATCCCCTGAGCCCCAGGTCAGGATATGTACCTGACCCCGGACATCGACATCTGAACGGCCCACGGACCCCTCAGAGTGCCCAGGGCCAGCGGCGCATGCACCATCTCCCGGGTCACCCAACTGGCTCCTCCTCCAGGCTCCTCAACACCCTGAATAGCAGCACTGTCCACCAGCGGCCCCAGCTGGAAAACGGCATCACCCAGTCTCTTCACGGAAGGAGTGGGAGTGAGGGGACAGCAGTGACTTTCAGCTTGGGACTGAGGCTAGAAGAAGAGACTCTTCTAATTCCAGCTGCTCCTCAGGGTCCAATTTGTGGGAGAAGTAGGATGAGACCTCCTCACAAGTGTGGATTCTGAATGAAATCTGCCCAGGCTGGTTCTAGCAAAATTGGGGGGCTGGGGGTAGTGAGGGACGGAGCAACAGACCCAGGGCTGCAGGTGTGAGAGAGGTTTTACGATGTGAGCTCTGCCATGGCTAGAAGAGACTGCAATCTTGGGACACAAATTTACCTGTCGCCAACACACACACACACACACACACACACATATCCATTGCATGCTTCCCCACCTGTTTTCCTGTTTCCTCTGCTCAGAAGGCCGTTCCTCCCTTCCTCTCACACCCCAACCACAACTCCTCTTCATACTTAATTCTCAAATGACGCGTATCCTCCTCCTCCGGGAAGCGTTTCCTGACGCCCCCACTGTGTGATCTGCCATCCTCTGTGCGTGGAGGTGTGTCTAACACTGTTTGTTTACGGGTCTGTCTCGGTGTCTCCCCACCACACTGGCAGCTCTGAGAGCAGGAGCCTGGTGCCCAGCCCCGGGCCGACACGGGAAGACGGTGGGGAGACGAAGGACGGCAGCGGAGAGCCCCAGCCTGGGAGCGGGGCGCAGTCCAGCCAGGTCCATTTCGAGGCGCGCGCGGGGAGCGCAGCGGGGCCCAGCCGAGCGCGGGGCACACCGCATCCCTGGATCCGCCCACGCCCGCGGATCCTCGAGGCGGCAGGACGTGCCCCCGGGACCCAACCCAAAGGTAGGGGACTCGAGAGAGGCACTCCCTGTGGTCCTCCTCCCTGTGGTCCTCCTCCCTGTGACACTCCTCTCAGCGGGGGTTGGAGAGAGGCACCGAGCGGAGCCTCCTGGCCTCCGGACGCCCACTCTCTCTCCCGCGCCCGAGACCCCGCGGCCCACCACCTCTGCTCTCTCCCCTGCAGAACCTCGCAGCATCGCAGCGGCTCGGGGTAGAGCGGGGCCGGAGGCTGGGGAGGAGGAGGCGCCAAGGGGCGGAGGAGGGAGCAGGGGCCCCTCCCCACCCCCGCGCCCTCTTAGGCGGGAAGAAATCGAGCCCCAGGGGAGGCCCCGCAGGGCGCCAAAGCCCCCAGGGCCCTGGAGCCTCAGGGGAGCGCAGCTCCCTAGTCCCCCCTCCCTCCCTCCCTCCCTCCTCGAGCCTCCCTACCTGGCTGGCTTTGTGGAACTGCTTCTTCAGCCCCGCCACCGACATCGCGACTGCGCCCCGCCAGGGCTGGGTGTTCTCTGTGCTCGGCCGGGCCACGCGGCTGCGACGCGCTGGGGGAGCGGGCGCCGGGGCCGGTCCCCGCGCGGCTGGGCTCCGCCGGGCCGGCCTCCCACGGCCACGGCCACGGCCACAGCCGCTGTCACACTCGCACACACGCGCGCACGCAGATGGCAACACTGCGCTCCACAGCCCCCGCGCAGCCCATTGGCCGAGCCGGGGCGGTATGCAAATGAAGCCGCTGGGGCCGCCCACGCCTCATTGTTGCGTGGAGACCCGGAGGACTGGAGAGGCTGGGAAGACGGGCCTGGGAAGCTGGGCGTGGCGATGTCCCCGGGTCCGGAGAGCGGAGATACACAGGGCTTCTTGCTGGGTGTAGGATGAGATGCATCTGGCTTTACGATTGCCCATGGGTGGGGAGAGAGGGAGTACCTTTCTATGCTTCTAGGTCTCGGTGGGAAACCTGCTTTGCTCACGGGCAACATCGCCTCCCTCTGGCGCGTTTTCGGCAGATTTACGTTTTAGGAAAGGGACGCTCCGAAATACGCCTAGGGGGAGAGAAATGCAACAGACAGGGGACCTGCGGTAGGGGGAAGTGGTCTGTGGGCGGCGGGGCTGTTTCTTCTTTCCCCACGCGGTGCTCTGGGTACAATCTGCCCAAACGATTTTGGTCCTCGAGGAGCCCAAGAGTTATTAGGTAATTTAGTAATAGATACAGTCCCCGCCTCCGTAGAGCGCGGAGCCCGCTGTCAACTGCATTAAGAGCAACTATCTCCAAGGAGCCGTAAACAGCGCGCTGTACCCCGGGGGGAATTCACCACACGAGGGACCCAGCTCCCTTGGTAACTCCTACCTGTTGTGTCAGTTACAGAGCCTCATTTTGCACAGGGGCCAGAAGTCTAGGGCCCACAGCCGAGATTCAGCCGGGGGCCTGGAGCATCCGGGTGATCCTCGTGTCTGAGCTGCCCCCAGCAGGTCGGCATCATCGCCGAAACATGGCCTCCAAAGTTCCCGAGGGCTCCCAAGCCCTACAACCCACCCTTAGCAACGCGTAACACTGAAAGAAACATACATCTTCCTCCTCCACTGTCCACCTAAAAGAAAGAATCTCCTCTCCTGGGCCCTCAACAGATCCCGTCTGGGATGACCAAGAGCTCCAGTTTGCCCCGGACACTTCCGATTTACGCCTGTTCCCTGGCTTCCGCTCCTGGCATCCTGCATTTCTCCAGGCAAGTCACGCAGCCTCTCCTTTGCCTTTCGCTCCCAACTCCGTTATCCCTGACTCCATCCTAGTGAGTAACTACATCTCCCTGAGCCCCAGTGTCCTCACTTTCCCTTAGAGGCGGTAGACGGGAGTGGACGGCAGCGTTGTTCCTCTGATGTGGGAGAAAATTAATGAACTTGAAGGAGAGAAAGGCTGCCATCCGGAGGGTTAATTAGTTTCACTTGAGTGAGTGCTGTGGGCCTGACTGGTCTAGGTATGGCTGACACCAGCCACAGACAGGTGACTAGAAGGTGTGAGGGTGGTGACAGCTGGGTCAGAATACCACAGCAAGATGGCCTGTCCACACAACAGGCCTGAGCTAACATCCATGCCAATCCTCCTCTTTTGCCCATCTTCTTCCACTTTACATGGGACGCCGCCACAGCATGGCCTGACAAGCGGTGCATCCGTGCCCGCCTGGGATCCAAACCCGGGCTGCCAGCAGCGGAGCATGTGCACTTAATGGCTATGCCACGGGGGCCGGCACCGGGATTGAAATTTTATCCATTAAAAATAACATATTTTTTCCTACTTATATCTTTTTGCTTCTATTTTACTTTGTCACATATCAATTTTTGTATCCCTGCGTTTTTTTGTACGTGCTTCATATGGCCTGATTGGTCCTTTTTTTCTGTCTTTTTTCCCCAGTTTTATTGAGATATACTGGCATATAACGCTATGCAAGTTTAAGGTATACAATGTGATGTGATACTGTTATCTCTACAATAAGGTTAGTTAACACCTCCATTACCTCACTGAATTAGCTGTTCGTGTGTGTGTGGTAAGAACATTTAAGATCTACTCCTAGCAACTTTCAAAGATAGGTCCTTTATTTTTGACCTTTCATTTTGTTTTAGACGTGTGCTCTTACAAAAAGAATAAAATCTAATTTTGTTTTGGGGCCAAAATATGTCTTTGCCTTTCCCTAGAGAGATTTAAAGCATTCACATTTATTATGAAAAGGATATATTTGGTCTTAGTTTTGTCATTTTATGGCATATTATCTGGGGTTTTTTCCCTTTCAAATAGTTCCTTCTACCGCTAGTATCTATTTGTTACAAAGGTTTTCCTTGCTTTTTCTTCCCCTTTGCTTTTGGAAATTATATTCCCAGTTTTTGCTCAACCAGAGTTTGCCATTGTTCTATAAAATATTTGAACTTATATTCTCTGTCAACATCAATAAATCAACATTGTGTGGAAACTGTAGCATGACTAGAATGAGCGATGGCCAGGACACGTGAGCTAGGGTCACCGTGTCACCACCTTTGACTTCGGCCACCTCATGCTCTGGCCCCAGCCGTTTGAGAAGCCTTCGGCAGAGACCAGAGGGTTCCCATTTCCTTTGTCTGAAACAGCAAATGAACCAGTTTAAGACTGGGGTGCAGTGTGTTGGTGTTGGCAGGGAGGCAAAAATGGAGAGAAGACAACTTAAATAGAAATTCTGAGGTAAAAGAATAGTGAAATTATTATAAATTCAAAATAAAGGTTTTCATAAATATATATTTTTCATTATCCAATAACACTTAAAGAAAATTTGGAAACTATTGAAAAGTAAAAAGGAGGAAAAATTACCTTTGGAATCACCATTAAAACAACTGCTCTTAGTGTTTTGGTATATTTTTATTTTGTAGTGTTTTTCCTATGCAAATTTAAACATAGCAGGGTCATGACTGTGCACACTACTTTGTTTTCTTCTTCTTTTTTTTTTTTTTTGTGAGGGAGATCAGCCCTGAGCTAACATATGTGCTAATCCTCCTCTTTTTGCTGAGGAAGACTGGCTCTGAGCTAACATCTATTGCCAATCCTCCTCCTTTTTTTCTTCCCCAAAGCCCCAATAGATAGTTGTTTGTCATAGTTGCACATCCTTCTAGTTGCTGTATGTGGGACTCGGCCTCAGCACGGCCAGAGAATTGGTGCGTGGGTGCGCGCCAGGTCGGGCCGACAGCAGTGGAGCCCGGGCACTTAACCACTAAGCCACTGGGCCGGCCCTGTTTTCTTCTTTGTTCTCTCAACTACGTGAGCATTTTCTATACTGTTTGAACTTCACACATATCATTTTCATGTCAAAATTATATTTGATCATTTTCCATTATTTCACGTTTAAAGATTTTTTCCCCCAAATTGGTCACGATTTAACTAATTCTGCATTAAACATCTTTTTCCCTATTAAGATCTCCTTCTGTATTTAGGAATAGTTCCTTAGAATGGATTCCCAAATGTAAAATTAGTGTGTCAAAGATTTGAATAGTTCTAAGTGCAAATTGGTATATATGTAGCATAGTCATAATTGCTCCTATGATCTATGGTCATTAGAGAAGAGTCTTGTTAAAAAAAAAATGAGAAAAAAAGTGCAAAGAAACGTGGATTTGTGGCTTCCATTTGCCTTGAATTCCACATCATTAAACCTGTGGCAGGATACAAGCGCCAGAATGCAGTACTTGGCAGTCCTTGGAGAGCTGAGTTCAAATACTGACATCTTAAATAACCCTAAAATGTTAGTTGAAGCATGACCTTTCAATTTCCAGCTTTGTCTCTCTATTTTTCCTTAAAAAAAGCTTTGAACCATACTCCCTTCTCTGGAGGCATCCTGGGTTACTCACGCATGAAGGGTGGGGCTTGGGCCCACCACGTAGCATTTGTGCAGTATGCCAAATATTTAGATAAACTCCACCTAGAAACATTCTTTCTCTCACTCTAATATCCCCACATACCCAGCTGCAGCAGAAAGTTGAGAGCATGGATACAGTTTTGCTTTCCTTGTAACTTCATAGGCCTTTTATTTTGCACATCTGGGAAAGATGTGTGCCCATCGATGAGGTAACAGAGCAGAAATGATGAATCCCAGATGTTGAACATGGCCATTTGCCTCCAACTTGCAAGATCACAACTGGGGACAAATGTATAGATTTTCTTCACTTATTGTTTTAGATGAAGCTGACAGAAAATCAATTGATCAGTTCAAGAAAGGGCCGGAGAAATCTTTTCATTTCAAAATGTAGAGAAAATAATTGAAGTGTTTTTATTTATTTCAAAACAAGGATTGGGGGAAAGGCTACAATCAACAGTGAAAGCAAATGTAATTAACTCATGAATTAATGCATATCGGAGTTATCTACAATACATGACTCTGTTATTCTGGACTCTATAAACATTCAGTTAGAATTCTGGTCATGCTGTAATTCCAATTAGCCTTTGTTGATTACATAGGTTCCATTCGCATTTTCACGTTTACCCCAGAGGATTTATTTTTCACTTCTAATAAATTGATGCCCAAAATTTATGCTGGGATAAGGAATGAGTGGTGCCAGCCGCTTTTGTAAACCACTGTTGCCACCTTGTGGTGCTAGTGAGACGTGGCAGAGATAAATCTTTAGGAACTGGAAGCATATCAGACAGTGGTTAGTTTCATGTCATTTACTTATATTTCAAAGTTTTTAAAGAGCACCCTAGCACCTTTAGTCTTGTCACAGCAGCTCATCTGAATGGTGTGGAGTGTAAAAATATTGCTACAGTTTGGATACCTTGAGAGTCCCGGTCACATCTGGGACTTGAGTTAATCAGAGGTCCTCTTGTGGTTCTTATTGTGAGAATCTCAAGCAGGGCTGTTCTGTCACTATGGCGTTTAGCCAGGTAGGAGAAGAACAAATAGAGAACGGTGTCCTGGTCCCAAAGGAGGAATTTTGAGAAGAGGGAGTGGGCCTTAGGGCCAATGGTTCCAACAGCAGCCGCTGAGGCCCAGCTCCGTCACTCTCTCTCCCCCTTTTCTCTCACTTTATTTTCCTTCATAGCTCTTTACTTGATCTCCTGCTATTGTCATAATATCTATTTTAAAATTTTCTTATCATCTGTCTCACTACCAAAATGGATAAAAGGCCTACAGCAGCACTTTCTGTGGTGGTGGAGATGTTCTCTCTCTGTGCTGTCCACTACCAAGAACCACGAGCCACCTGCAGCTGTCAATCACTTAAAAGTTGGCAACTGCAGCTCTGGATTTTTAACCTTATTTAATTTTAGTGTATTAAAATGTAAATAGCCACGTGCGGCTGGTGGCTGCTGCGTTGGACAGTGCAGCTCTAGAAGGACCGGAGTGATCCCACTCTGTTTACCACAAAGCTCCCAGTACCAGAAGAGTTCCTAGAGTCTCAGAGCTGCTCAATAAACAGAAATATTCGTGTAATGAAGAAA